AGACACAGACAGGAACAAGCCCTCACAATTTTCACTCCAACATCCAACGGATCTTGGCGGGGGCGAGGGGGAGAGCACAGTAACTTGCTGGAAACCTTTCTACCTGATAACAGATTTCTCCGTTTTCTCCTCTTTATCAGCCCGGACCGGCTCTTCTACAGCCCTACTGGTGTCACGCTGGGCCTTCAGCCTCCCGTCCCTCCACGGTGGTTTGATCTGAAAATTGGAAGGACCACGCCGAATATGAGGAGGTTTTGGCGGCTTCTGAGAAAACAATGTAAAAAAAAAAAAAATGTGCTTGGCATGTTGCAGAGATGGTAAAATTTCAAACCATAAATCAACAACATTTCAGTGTTCAACCTAACTTCAGGAAAATCTTGTTTTGAAACTGTATCAGCATGCAAGTTCTGCCCTGAATGGAAGGCATGCTAAAGACCTTAGGGTGTTTGTTTTGAGCTTTTGGTAAAATTATCCAGCTCTTAAGTTTACACTGATAAATTGCTCTTAAACTACCCGTACTGCTACCAGATATTAACACAAGGCACTGCCAAAGGATTGTACGGATATTTGGTTCTATTTTACCAGTAACAGTAAATTTTTACTAGAATTGGCATGCAAAATAAAAACTTACACAGTGCCACTCTTAGATAATACCAAGGATTACTATACAGTAATACAAGTACATTTGTGCACTACAAGGGAAAGATTTAATACAAAATTGTGTCCTCATTAACTGGAAACCCCCAAATTTGAGGCTGGAGAGGTACTGGAACAGGTTGCCCAGGGAAGTTGTGGCTGCCCCATCCCTGGCAGTGCTCAAGGCCAGGTTGGATGAGGCTTTGGGCAACCTGGTGTAGTGGAAGGTGTCCCTGCCCACGGCAGGGGGGTTGGAACTAGGTGATCCTTGAGGTCCCTTCCAACCCAAACCATTCTATGATTCTATGAAATTCATGAGGCGAATACACGAAGAGCAACACAGTAACCAGTATTCCTCTGCTCCACTAATCCATGCAGCCAGTTCATGTTTCTTTGCCGTCACATCCCCTCCAAATGTAACCCCTCAAACCTACTATAGTCTGTCCTGCTGGCTGCTGCTGTGCAAGTCACCAGGAACACCATTCCAACTCGGTGTGACACCGACCGTATCCCGAGTCTCACACTCAGCCAAACTCTATTTAGGCTCCTCACGACAGCAAGGCTGACGTCCAGAGCACTCCGAGCCCAAACAAATTCATCCTAATGGGAAAGTGACGCCTCAGGAAAGGTCACTGTGACCCAAAGTCCTGGCACTCCTAGCTATAACTCCTAGCTAAGAAAATAGTACACTAAACACTTAAATAAAAAACGTAAAGCCAAGAAATACTACTCCTTCCTGAGAGGAGAGCGCTCCACCCAGAGCAGATTTCTACTGCAAGTTAAAACTCCTTTCTCCTCAACAACTGTTGGAACCAAGCACTATTTGCAGCTTTCACAAACTCTTTGGTAAGTTTTTAAAACTCATTTCTTCTCGTGGTACCTGTGGTGAAAGCTCTGGGTAGTCTCCAAGGTTGGCATCTGCTTTCTGGGGTGCTGGTAGAACGGCCGGATTTGCCAGCTTTAATCTAGGAATTTCTGGTTCTGTTCTCTGATCGTCCAACGATTTGTTTGTTAGACCTAGACACACAAAAGTACTCAGCACAATAAATCAACAGTTTAGGCTCCAGCCAGAAAGTTGTAACAGTTTGCTGCACTCACACACTGGGTGCAGCCCTAAAAAGGGTTTCCATTCACAGAGCACCGACAGACACACACTAACTGTTAGATACAAAGCCTCCTTTGGCATTAATGCTCTCCCTAATGTACAAGGAGGCTGCTAAAAGGCATGTGCTTTTTTTTTTTTTAACTGCTATTATTTTAGCTTCTCAATACGGGCAGTAAGATAACATCAAAAGTAAATGTGCCTTCGTATTGGAGAAAAGCTTGGGATTTCTAATCTGGTGGACAATCAAAACTGAGAGACGATTATCTTATCCTACTATTTAGGCTACTGATATCTACATACAGACATAATCTAAAAAACCACTCACTGCCTCCAAATCTTAATCAACTCAACCAAAACGTTGCTTTAGTCACGATAAACAATGAAAAGGCACATGAAAAATACTTCTGATTAAGCAGAAACAAGTCATTGAAACATGTCACACATAATCATCTCACAACTGTGCTTTAACGGATAACTCAGTCACTGCCAATAAAAATTAAAACTAGTTACAAGAACTACACCAATCTCTTAAATATAGCAGTACATTGCATTAATTCTGAGCTGCACAGAACACCTACTTTTCCACGGTTCCCCCATGCTTGTGTAGGAAATGACTCCACAGACTGCCAAGAAGGTGAATAGGAAGAGAATTACGCTCCGCTGTAGTCGAGAGAGCTGCTTCCATTTCTTTAGGAGAGAAAACAGGTAAGACAAAGAACGTTTAGCACGACATTAAGAGCATACTCAGTCAAAAATGAACTCTGATCGGTTCATTCGGAGCAAGAAACACAAAACTGAGCAGGTTTCAGTTTACCCTCTGTTTCCCACCGTGCGCATCCATTGCTTGTTTTCTTTGACAACAGAGAAACCAGAAATACCACACGCTAGCACATGGCACAGCAGGCACAGAGAAACCTCGGAGCCACTTGCTGCAAGACCCTCAGAGGCTGCTGAGATTCCCAGAGAGCATCGCCTACAGCACGCTGACTTCTGTCACAGCCCTCGCTGCCTGCCCTGTGCGTCTGCCCAGGCGCCAACTGGGAAATCAGCCAAAATTCTGGCTGGGGAGGTACTGCAGAACACACACACACAGTAAGAAACAGAAGGAAGCAGCAGGAAAACTAAAAACATTACTGCAGCAAAGAATAAAGGGTAATTTTGCATGTGCTAAGCCAAGCAGCAGCCACTGGACAAGGAAGGGCGGGCGTCCTGCCTCTGACGAACACGTGGCACTGTCACACAGGACAGGTCCTGCCACCACAAATAAAGTCACCGACCTGCACCAACACAAAAATGAAGTCACTGAACAAGACAAAACCACGTTTTCAAATTTAGTCCTGGTCAAAACTGTGTTTTGACACAGAGAGGGTGCTTCAGTGCCAGTGCCACGCCTGGGAGCAACCTCCCATTTCGTACAGATGGCTCTGCACCCCACAGCACCTCCCACGGCCCTCATCCTCTCAACAACAACCAGAGGCTGCAAACGTTGCAGTGAAGAACCATCACTGTGCTCACACTGCTGAGCCCCACAGCACACATCTCCTGTTTTCCTTCCACTCTGCTGACGGTACAGTCATCCTGCAGGCCCTTCCCAACGCACAGCGCCAGGTGCTGATCCCACTCCTTCACCTTCTGCTCTGCCTGCACAGCCAACCAGATCATCATCTCCCATTGCAGAAGGATGCTTGGAACCAGCAGCCCTGTCCTCCCTCAGGGCAGGACAGGAAGAGGCATTGGCTGTGGTGTCCTGGGATGGGTAGGAATGAAGGACAAGAATACATGAGGGCATTCCCCACCATCTTACTTTTGGTTCTGCTGATACAAAATAAGGATAAAAGGAAGGGTGAACCATATTGCGTCCTATTCCCACATTTCCATACTGTGGAAATACTTGTGTCCTATTCCCAGCTACCATACTGTGTCCCTAAACCAGTTCTTCATATGCTTCACCTGCCCACCTGTAAAGCCTCTGTAGGTAGCTACACCTCATCTCCCATCTGCAACACGGGTTACCTTGTCCCTTTAGCTCACACTTTCCCCCTCTGCCTCTCCAGCCCGAGACTCCCACCCCTGGTAAAGCTGCCTGCCCACTCCCTACCCTAAGCAGACAAGAAAGTCACTTCCACACAGCTCTTCTGGACACCACTCTTCTCCTATTCTTTCTGCAGAAAGCAGAACCATTCCTTTTGCTCTCCTAGGGCAGAGGACTGGGTGTAAACGCCCTAAAACAGGGAGTAAAGGCACAAAGACCAGCTCCCACCCCGCTGCCACTCCTGCCCGG